CACCTGATGCGAGCGACGCAGGCGCCAACACAATCTACAATCGCGGACGCCCTGACTAAGTGTAGCGGGCGCGGGCGTGCGGCAGCGGGTGTGTCGGTGGTGCTCTGATCGTTCTTCCTTTTCTAATCGAAACCACCATACGTGGGTGGCTCTGACCGTGTGGCGAGACACGTCACTCTTAACCTGACTCCTCTCTGGGCCGCACCCTGTGCCAACGCCTCTACGTTATTTTGCCTCTCTACCGGTTCCGCAGCCCTCAAATGCGTGCGGAGGTTTTCTGACAGGACACCTTTTCAAAGCAACGCTGTTATTTTTTCAAATTTCAGTGCGTGCCCGCCGGTTCCACACAAAATTGAGACCCATGCGCCGGCCTCCCAACGTACTCCTTACAGCATACACTCCGAAAAAGCTCCACCCAAAATCTCCTCCTCCATCGTTTCAGCCCCACTTCCCCGCCCATCTCTCTGGACGCGACAATCGCTCCTGCGTCGGGTTCCAAGCACCCGACCGCGCCACGCCGTTCGCAGGCGTCCCACCTCCCTCCCTCTGCCGACTCACCTCGACGGCAGCTCCCCTCCCTCTTCGGCAATCCCCACTCCCGTATCGCTCCCTCCTAGTCTCTGCCGTCAGCGCTCGGCGCCGCTCTCGCCTCCCCCACGGCCTCCCCGCCCCCTCGTCGTCCCGCATCCTGCCATGCGTCGGTCCTCCTCTCCGCCTTCCGCCACCCGCCCCCGTTTCCCCCCGGCTGCAGCTTCAGCTGATCTCGTCATGCCGTGAATCTCGCGGGCCGAGTCGGTCTGCTGTCGCTGGTCGGCGAGGAGAGTTTCTCGGAAGGGCGCGGCGGCGACGGGAGCGGCTGAAAGGGTGCGGGTGGTGGCTCGGACGGCTGAGGGCCTCTTCCCCGGTGTGCGGACGGCCGCACCGGTGGTGACAGGGTTGGAGGCGCGGTGAAAGGACGCTCCGGAATACTGGTCGCTGGGTGCGACGCCGGTGGTTGTTTTTTATTTTGCGAAGACCCTGCACGGCAATCCTAGTCCGGCAATCAAACCGGTCGTCTTTCCTGCCTCAAATTTTTTAAGCGGTCCCCACGGTTCAAAAAATTAACACACATTATTAACCAGTCCCTTTTAATTCTGTCCCCTTCTCTGAAGTCATGCCCTCTGAACACTTACTTACCCATTACATGTACAGTGTACAATTGAGTTCTTCCCCTGTGAATTTGGAAAGAAATTCTATGGTGGAAGTTTGGAGACTCGACGTCTACGTCCAACGTCAGTCCCTAATTGCCAAGCTTAATTGGAACTCACCTTCACCGCTGCTCTCAATAAATTAGAAGTCCAATCATAATTAAGGTCCGTTACGCCGTTGAAGAAAAAGACTCCGAATTTAAATCAGTGGGATTGCCGAGTTCGCCACATATCTAAAAAATTTGAATTATAAGTTTGTTCCTTAAATTTATTATCTAAATGGATGTGCCCGAATATATCGCTAAGATTGATTTCATAAGTCCCTACCGAAACATAATCCATTGTTTAATTAATAAGGAATGGAAATATTCACTTTGTCCTGTTCTTAATATCAAGTTATAAATCCAATTATGACCATAACCTAGGGGCTGATCGCCGAGGCGAATGACAAATAAGCTAAGCTGCTGCAATTGGAGTAATCGAATTCTTACTCTATATACATATACAATAACTGTTTCTCTGTCATATTACAAATGTAAGCAACACAGGGATACAATTTTTTTTATATAAATTTAAATTTCTTTATTTTTTGTTGACCTTATCGCGATGGAAGGTATATTTTTTTTGAAGTGATGGATTTATCAACATATAATGACTGAGACAAGTGCGGATGGAATGATAATTACTATTTAATTTCGGCTGCTGTCCGATGCGTGGAGAACACAGGATCAGTAGTGAATGTCCAGGAAGAGTACAATT